AAGAAATCTCTTCCTGGTGTCTCTGTTGTCACTGTTTTAGTTACTGTCCTTATGCTGCATTTATTCTTTCCTCTTGCACTTCTGTTGTTTGGAGTGTTTGAGAAGCAAACAATCTCTTCAGTTCTGGTTTTCTTTTAAAAAATATTTTGAACTCTTCTTTACTGAATGTCCATCTTTTGTGGCATATGATTAAGCTCAGATTGTAGGTTTGTTCACCCTGGGCTGCATCCTGAGCTCCATTGTTCTTCTGAACACATTATTCCATTCCTTCCTCCTTTTTTTAGTAGATGTATAGTTTTGCATTATTCAAATGTCCTTTCCTTTGTATTTTGAAGGTCTTTCTCCTGTTGGCTTTAAGAACTTGTTTCTGAATTTAATTGTTAAATTTAACCACCATGGGTTTGTATCCTGGGGTTTTTTTGTGGGGGGATCTATTAATTCTGTGCATGGGAATTTTATTTTATTTTTTTTGGTGAGGCAATTGGGGTTAAGTGACTTGCCCAGAGACACACAGCTAATGAGTGTTATGTGTCTGAGGCCAGATTTGAACTCAGGTCCTCCTGACTCCAGGGTCGGTGCTGTCTCCACTGTACCACCTAGCTGCCCCTGGAATTTTATTTTTTGTGTTCAGAAATTCCTGGGCAGTTCTCTTCTGTTATTTCCTTCACTATGGTGTTAAGATTTTTTGTCCTGTCATTCTTCTGGGAGACTTAAGATTCTTAGGTTGTCTTCACACATTCTGTCTTTAAGATCTGTATGTTTTGCTTGCATAGGGAACAAATTTTCTTTTAATGTTCTTATTTTTTGCTTGTCTTCTAAATTCTCCTTCACTTCTATGTATTACATTCCCAGTCTGTTGTTCTCACTTTTATTTTTTTTGGTGTGGATTGTCATTGCAGATTCAAGTTTTTTTTGAACTGCTCATTATTTTTTCTGTGTAGGACATATATTGTGCTCTCGTAATTCTCATTTCTCTTTTAAACCACTCAGGAACAGTGTGTTGTGGTTCTTTGTTCTCAAATCCCACAGGGTCCTCTGTCTCATCAAGAGTTAAATCATTTCCCTTTGTTTTGCAGTATTTATTCATAGATGTCTGAACTCTGGAGGTTATATCACTTTGACAGATGAGTGGAGGATAGACTGGAGTAGGGAGAGACTTTTGCCAGGGAGGCCATCCAGCAGGTCACTTCAGTAATCTCCATTATGAGAGGAAGAGGAAAGGAAGTAGAGGCATCAATTACAGATGGCCTTCTGAAGGACAGGTTAGCCACAAAGGGGAGAAGAGATAGGGGATGATAACTAGTGGGGATGGATGGATTTAGTGAGGGCAGGAGAGACATGTTTGTATGGAGTAGGGAAACTGCCAATAGGCAAGGAGTTGAAGATAGGTCAAAATAGAAACCACAGACTGTACTTGGCTGAAGATCTTATGTAGAAATATAGCTTCCAGCCACTTCTTACGTTTTTTATTCCCTCTCTGCTGTTGACTTCATATACTCTCTACTCTTTCCTTGCCTATTTTCTATCTCAGCATTTTCTGAACCTTTATGCTGGAATTAATGCCTGAATTTTAACCTTTTAGCACTTTTTTCCTAGATATCACAGTTGAATGAGAAATTTCTACTTTTTTCTTAAACAAAATAAAACACCATTTAATTAACAGTAGGACAAAGTAACAATATTACAGATACTAAATATATAAGAAAAGTTCCTAAATAATAAAATACATCACTATCCACATATAAAATTCGGTCATACTTTCTTACCAGGGCACTGTCAATATCTCTGGTAGAAGGGCACATATGGGAATCTGACAGAAAAGCACATGAGGGAAAAAATGCACATTCTTGGGATACTTCAGAATTCTGGACTGAATATTTTGATGTCATTCATGGAACATCTGTACCACATGAAACTGCTTCTCCGCTTGTTTGTGTTTTGGTCTTTACCACTTGTCACCTGGGCAGATCCTACTCCTTTTCTCTCCTCTGCTGAAATCGTAGCAATAACGAGCTCTTTGAACTTGCCATCATCCTTGAAAGGGTATTTAAAAAGTGTTACTTTTTGCTCTGAAAACCAGTCCTCTTTAAGCCAGAGAATTCCCAAGCTCATCAAATTCTGTGTCACTGGCCTCTATGGCCCCGCTCAGCCAGGTAGATGCTTACCTAGGTGCTCTGTTGTCCAGTCTGAATAGGGCTCAGAGCAACCCAGCTTGGGTTAATTCCTCAAACAAGACAAACAGGCCAGCCAGCTTAATAGACTTTACAGCAGCTGTGATGCTTGTATCCTCATTCTTGTTTTCTTTTTTAAAATTCTGAACTTAGCCCTGCCCCGAAAGTGTAAAGTATATTTCCACAACATACCAGGACACAAAAGAATATTCTTTATGAAACTTTAAATCTCCATTTAATACCACTTGTATGTTTTAAGCACATACTGTGTTCAATTACTTTCAAAACTACTGTTTGTCTGTGCTGTCTTCAGTACTTCCTTGTTCTGTGAATTTTTAAACTATGTGTTTTTAGCTCTCTTTTTTCATCATTACTATTGCTAGCCACCTCCCTCTCCAATGTTTCATTGTAGGTTGTCATTAGACATAACTGGTAATTGCATTGATCAGCATTCCCAAGTCTCTCTCTCTCTCTCTCTCTCTCTTTTTTTTTGGTTTTTGTCTAGGCAATGGGGTTAAGTGACTTGCCCAGGGTCACACAGCTAGTAAGTGTTATGTGTCTGAGGCCGGATTTGAACTCAGGTCCTCCTGAATCCAGGTCCGGTGCTCTATTATTCACTGTGCCACCTAGCTGCCCCCCAAGTCTCTCTTTTAAAAATTTATTTTATTTGTTTATTTTTGTTACATTTTAAGTTCCAGTTGTCTCCCTCTCTCCTCCCTCCCTTTCCACCCCGCACTAGAGAAGGCCACCATTTGACATAGATATATATGCACGCACACACACATACACACACACAAACACACATACACACACACAAAAGCATACTATGCATACTTCTGTTTATCATTTTTTTCTGTGGAGGTAGATAGCATCTTCCTTCATAGGTCCTTTGTAGTTGATTTGTGTATTTATAAAACTCTTAAGTCATTCACAGTTGTAGAATTCCTAGGTCTTTCAGAGTTGTTTTTCTTTATAGCATTGTTGTTCTTGTATAAGTTATTGTGGCTTTTGGTATTTCTTAGAGCCCAGTAATATTGCATGATATTCATGTACCACCATCATTTGTTCAGCTATTCTCTATTTGTATAATTGCTAATCCTCTGTATTACCTATGTATCTTATCTTTATAATAGTCTATAAACTGTATTAGGACAGAGTCCATCTCTTATCTAAACTTTTATTTCTCTACTGCCTGATAGAATCTTATTCCATTCTGGACATATGTCCAGCCTTATCTCTCTTACTTCCAACACGAACCCTTCAATGCTAGTGGGTTGGTCTAAACACTGTCCTCTTGATGTTCATGTCTCTGTCTGCTTGTATCACTCATTCACCTTGCCTATAGTCTCCTCCTGTGCTCTTATGAACTATTTAAAAGCATCCCATTATCACTGTGCCTGGTGATCTCTTTTGGAGAGAGTGGAATGTAAACGCTAAGGGGAGGAGAACACAAGGAGTTCTAGAGGTCTCATCTGTACAACTCCTGACATCTGTGTACTGCCACGTATGCAAATTTATTTCTCATGTGTGTGTCACATGGATACACATGCATATTTTAAAGTTCCTTGAAGTCAGGGAACATATGCTATGTTGTGATATTTTTTTAATCTTCAAAGTGCTCAGTAAATATTTTCTGATTTTATTATCGATCCATATTAAATGTTAATGGTACAGTAATTCATATTTATATAGTACTTTAAGGTTCATTGAATACTTTCCTAAATAGCATTGTGAGTTTGGTAAGCTAAAACATTATCATCTCCATTTTTTAGATAAGGAAACTTATCCTCTGTGAGAAAACTTTTTTCTCTTTCTTTCTTTCTTTCTTTCTTTCTTTCTTTTCTTTCTTTCTTTCTTTCTTTCTTTCTTTCTTTCTTTCTTTCTTTCTTTCTTTCTTCCTTTTCCTTCCTTCCTTCCTTCCTTCCTTCCTTCCTTCCTTCCTTCCTTCCTTCCTTCCTTCCTTCCTTCCTTCCTTCCTTCCTTCCTTCCTTCCTTCCTTTTTTTTTTTGAAAACAGAAAGCTTCCAAGAATAGAAATTAAGTCACTTATTTATGGTCACAGAGTTTGTAAGAGTTAGAACCAGAATTCAAACTCATGTCTGCATGAATCTACCCTCTGTCTATAAATTGGTGCTGTTTCCATTTTGCTGCTTGACCTAACAGATTAAAGGTGACCTAAACAGAAATAAAGTGAAATATAAATACTGTTTACCCCGTGCTCATTTTTTTCTCCTCTTGCTTGATGTATATGGGTTATACATCAAATATATATATTATATGTATTATATGTGTTATAGATTTTTCTCATGCAGAAATCCTTTTTTGCAAAGAGCTTTCTAAATTTAGAAATAGTTTGAATTAAAAGAACAGTCCAAGAAAAAAGTTAAGCCAGTAAGATTAGATAATTCTCAAAATACCTGACCTCCGCCCCCCCCCGGACAATAATGAAACCTTTTAGATTTTAGATTTACAATGAACATTTATTGAACCTCTGACCTTTGTCTGGCAGTGTATGATGTGCTTCATAGACTATTTGGGCTTACTGATTTTGCATTCTTAGCATTCCTTTGTGGTGGTAAAGTCATCCTGCAGCTTTCCTTTAGAGTGATATACTACTTCATCACAAACTATCTTTGTCAGTCAGTTTTCCACTTTAGGTTTCTAGCAAGCATAAATGCTTCTGGGGTCAGGCCAGCTGGTTTTTATTGATTTGAATCTTTATTGAATTGAGAATCCTTTCTTATGAACCTTTTTGCACTTTTCTTTTTGAGATTACACTACTAGAATTAGTCGTTTGTTTTTAAGTGAATTATTGTTTCTTTGTGAACAGAAGCCGTCAAACATTGAAAGTCAGAGAACACAACGTACTGGGTCCTTATGTTGATGGGCTTTCTAAACTGGCTGTCACAAGTTACAAGGTAAAGACCATTTATGTGAAATATTCTAATTTATCATTTGTCGTGTTTTGTTGTTTCAGCTTTTCCTGTAACTGATTGTAACTTTTGTAAGGGATGAGGGCTCATTAAGAAGCAAAACCTGTGTACTGTTATCATGTAACTCACAAAAAGCTTTCCCCCTCCAACAGAATTGTCTCTCTCTGTGCCCTTCCGCTGTACCCCTCACTCCCACCCCTTCCTTTATTTTCTAAAGGTAGACTTTGCTGGTAGGATATATGATGGAGGGAAATGATTTTGATAAAGGTGTCTTTAGCTGAGCTAATTTATATTAACTGTTAGCTTATTATTTAGAATTCAAAGGCTATTTTCAGATCTAGGAGTGTTCTTGCTATCTAATGGTTTTTTTTAAATTTTTGTTTTTGTTTTTTGAGGATCACATGAAATACAATGTATTATGAAAGTATTTTAGAAAATGATTGAGGCAGCATATTTTTTTCTTCAGTGTTCTTTTTTCCATTTGGACAATTGTATTTTTAAGGACTTGTTTTCTACAGTTAATTTTTGTCTTTCCTTTTCCAAGCTATTGACTGTCTCTTGTATACTTCTCCTTTCTTTTACCAATTTTTTCTTTCACTTCTTTCATTTGACTTTTAAAATCTTCTTGACCTCTTCCAAGAAGGTTTTTTGGCCTTGAGACAAGTTTGTATTCCCCTTTGAGGTTTTGGATGTGGGTATATTGACAATGCTATCCTTTTCTGAATTTATGCCTTGAACTTCCCTGTCCCCATAGTAAGAATCTATGGTCATTGTCTATTTCTTCTTTTTGCTCTTGGTGTTTTCCTATTTCCTGACTTTTAAAAAAAGTTGAGCTCTCTTGCTGGAGTGCTGGGGGTACTGACACAAGCTTCTTGTGCTGGGATCCCAGGACCTAGTGACTGGCCTTGTGTGCTGGAGCCTCAGGTGCTACCAGTGGGAGGCTGTAGGGTTCTGGCAGCTCACCTGATGTTAGGCTGGGGTGAGCAACACAGGAGCCTTTGGGGTGGGGGTGGGGAGTCTGGCCCCTGGGGGGACGCCTGCTCACCCAGGCCTGGCACTTGAATGTTTGGCTTCTGCTCACCTGGGCCTTGCAGTTGGATGTTTGGCTGCTGGAGGATGTTTGTCATCCTAGAGCTTTGCCTCCTGGAGTTGTGCTTCCCAGAGCTGTGGTGAGGCATTGGGAGATTTGGCTGCTGGAGAACACTACCACACATGGTGGTATTCCAAGATGTTGTATACTGGTTCCTCTGCCTGCACTGAGGTAGTTGGGGGGGGGGTCCTGGTGTTTGTGCTTGCCTGCTTCACCACCCTGGGGCTCAGGATCTCTTCCTGGTTTGCTGAGGTGAGGCTTGTCTCTCGCTTGCTGCGATGCCTCCCATCTTGTACTACTCCCTCTCCCCTAGAGCAAGAGGGGCCTTTCCTGTTAATCCCCCAACCTTCCTGGGCTACAAGACTGCTGCACTCCATCTTTCTGCTGGCTCAGCTGCTCCAGAGTTTTTCCTGGGGCAATATTTTCTGGGCTTCCAGAGGCTAATAAGGGAGGGTGAGAGTGATTTACTTTTTACTCCGCCATCTTGGCCCCTGGAAGCGGAAGTCAAGGCAGCACGTTGTCAAGTCAACAAGCCAGGTCAACAGGCATTTATTTATTCATTCATTCATTATTTTCCAGTGACCTTGGGCAAGTTATTTCATCTCTCTGAGATTCATGTCCTTATTTTAAAATTGAGGGTATAGGAATAACTAATCGCAGAGGTTGCCAGGCAGTTATTTTTTTTAAACTGGTATTATTTTTATAGCACAAGTCATTTGAGAATGGCTAAAGAGTTTGAGTCTTGCCTCTGATACTTACCTATACCCTGGGTAAGTGACTTAAGCTTTCTCAGCCTCAGTTTTCTCATCTATAAAACATAGTAGCTCCTACTTCACAGAATTATTGTGAAGATCAAATGGAATCATGCATATACAATGCTTTGCAAACCTTTTAGTGTTATGTAACTGTTAGTTATTATTATGAAGACAAAAATAAGAGGGAAACTTTTGATAGAGACCTTAAAGAAATTATAAAGTTTAAAAATATTTTGATTTTTTAGAAACCAGATACTAGATCAGATAGTGGTAGGTAAATGTGGGCTGAATAAGATGGTACATTAGATTTAGCATCATCAGATTTAATCCACCTTAAATCAAGTTTGACAATTTCCAGCTGCTGACCTTTTTGGTTTTTATTTTGCTGATCTTTTCCCCCTCATTTTCTCATTCTCAGATCTTATTTATATGACCTTTTATAGTTAATGTTTATGGTTCCAAGAGTATCTTTCTGTGTCATGTTGAGTAGTTTTCCTCAAAGATCTTTTTCCTCATTCATCATTGTCTTTATTTGCAAACCCTGTTCTGTTACAAGAAATGTGATTACACTGAATATCTCTGTACAATAAGAAACTACTGAATCCAAACTGTGGATTAGGAATCAAAAGATATTCAGTTTAAAAAAAAAAATCATTCAGATAGAATTTGGACGATTTCTAGGAGTACTTTGGAGTGGGATTTTATTATTTTAACTTTCAGTGATTTCATGTAATTTAACTTTTCTTCTTAAGGCCTCTTGCCTTGTTAGGCTTATCTTTTAGTTTATTATTTAGCGACATGTGTGTGTGCGCGCGCACGCGCATGTGTGGTGGCCTGTTTAAAAACTTTTGTTGTAGGTAAGACTGTTTACAGAATGTTTACCCTATTCAGCATGTTGAGCAGTCTTTGATTTTGTTCATTTCTGTATCACTGGTGAATGAAATAATTAATGTAGTGGCTATAAATTTTATTCAATAAAAATTTGAAAAAAATAGTGTACTCTACAACTTGTGTTTCCCTCACTGGACTACTTTTTGTTATTAACGTGAATTTTCTTTATTAATGTCCATTATTTCTCCAAATTGCAAAATATTTATTTCATTCAGTGGGTCTTAGCTTCCTCTTCTCCAGAATTCAAAAGCCCTCTAAATTATCCCCTTTTCTCTCTTGAGGTTGCTCTTCTTGCCAGGTCTTCTTCATTATTTTTGGACCTTTGATCTCCTTTCCTCTTCTTTTCTCCAGGCATCTGTACTTTTGACATTTCCTTCTCTGTCTTGTCTTTAACCTTTTCTTGTCCAGTGAATCCATGGACACCCATAAACACGTCCATTTAAGACACGTTCATTTGATGTTGACCACATGTATCTCTTTACCCTCAAATTCCTAAAGTCATCTATAGCTTCCATTTCCTACTCATTTCTCATCGCTTGTTAATCATGCTGTAAACCTCATTATTTTGAAACCACTCACTCCGACGTTACCAATAATCATCAGGCTTCTGGTTTTGTCAGCCGTTTTTTAGTCCTCGTTATCCTTGCTACAGCTGTTGATAGTGTTGCCCATTTCCTTCTTCTGCATACTCTGTTGGCTCTTCTTCAGTCCTTGTAACTATTCCTCTGTACTTGCCTTTGCTGGCTCCTCAATCAGTAGGCAGTTAGTAAGCATCTGCTGCTTGCCGGGCCCAGGGAATATTCACCTACTCAAATGGTTCTGTTCTAAATGTTTCCTCTAACCTGCACACTGCAGTCCATCCAAGGTTACCCATCCTTTGTGACTCTCATCCATCCATGTCCTGACAGAAGTTCATGAGGGGGTCTCCACCCAACTTGGTGAAAGCCTTCCTTGCTTTCTCCTGATATGCCAAGGATGGCAGTGGAACAGTCAGGCTCTTCATCTATAACCCTGGGTCCTTGCCAAGTGACCAGCCCATCTTTTCTTCCTTTTGTTCGTTCCCTTGATGACATCTTTTACTCTAGCTCTTCAAAGTTCCTTATTGATTATATGTTGCAGCCTGCTTATCCACCCTGTGCACCTCTCCTTTGTCTTTTGGATGGGTTCCTTATCCCTGCGTGTCTTCAAGCGAACACTTGTACACTTATCAGGGGTACTGTAGAGGGACCATGTTCTGTGTTCAGTAGAGTGCTGGATTTTGAACCAGGAAACCAATAAAGTTTCAGTTCCTCACTCAGATTTTTTTTAGTTATGTGGCCATTGGCATTTCACTTAGCCTTTCTGACTTCAATTTTCTTCATCTGTAAAATAGGTATAATAAGGTTGTTGTGAGACTTTCGTAAGATAGGATTGTATACAAAGTATGTTAAAAACAGTAAAGCAAAATATAAATGTCAAGTGCTTTTTATTTTTATTATTAGAGGAAATTTCTCTTCAGTTATGGGTTGGACTTAATGATCCCTGAGGTGTATAGTCTAACTTTGAAACCTTGTGACTAGGGTGTGAAGCCTTGAACTGTCACTTGCTAGCTTTAAGACTTAGTGTAATTAATTTAATGACCAGAATTAATATTTTTCGTTGGAATTGGAATAATAGTACCTGTCCTGTTTGTCTATGGAACTGATTTTAGGCTCAAATGAGACAAGATTATTGAAAGTGCTTTGAAAAATCCTCTTCCCATACCTCGGTAATTTAATTTATTTCAGAACTCTGATATGAAGTTAAGACCTACAGTACTTCAATTTTTTTCTCTTCTGGGCTTAACAAGCATCAACAGACAAACATTTCACTATGTGAAAGAAAACAGAAACAAAATCATATGTGAAACTGTGAACTTATATTAGAAGTGCATATTTAATTTGAATTAAATTTTTTTAGTAATCAGACAATTTTTTTTTCTCCCTCACACACTTTGCCCAACTGGATTGAAAAGAAAAATCAAAACCCTTTAAAATAAATATACATAGTCAAACAAAACAAATTTCCATATTGGCCATGTCCAAAAATGTATTTTTCAAAAACTCTTCTGTCAGGAGGTAACCAGATAACATTTCTTCATCATCAGCTGTCTGGAGTCATGGCTGATCATTTTGTTGGTTAGAGTTCTTAAATCTTTAAAATTATTCATTTTTATAATATTGTTGTTATCAGATAGATTGACCTCCTGGTTCTGTTCACTTTGCTCTATGTCAGTTTATACAAATCTTAAGGTTTGGGGGAATTCCCACTGCTCTGGAACATTGCTGTTCTGGACCAAATGGAGGTAGAGGGGAGTAGTGTCTTTAATCTTATTGCAAATATAATTATTTTATTGAATTTCATGATCTGTGAGCATTTCATTGTATTCCAGTTCCAAACTGGAATCATTGGACTGGCCTAAGGCAGGCCTGGCCTGGAACAGCTGGAGTATAAAAAGTATTGGCAAAGTTCTCTCAGTGTTCAGAGGCAGTAGAGAAAGGCTTAGTGGAGGGCTTTGGTGTTTTAGTCAATCTTTAGAGGCTTGTTTTTCAGTGATGTCTGACTCTTCACAATGCCATTTGGAGTTTTGTTGGCAAAGATGCTGGACTGGTTTGTCATTTCTTTCACTAGCTCATTTTATAGATGAGGAAACTGAGACTATTGTGACTTGGCCAGGGTCACATAGTAAGTATCTGGGGCTGAATTTGAACTCAGATCTTTCAGACTCCAGACCTGGTGCTCTCTCCACTGTAGTACCCAGCTGCCCCCTTTAGAGGGTAGATAGGAACAATGTCAAACTTTCATAGCAGCCCACTGACCTAGCAGCAGAAAGAGAAGAGGAAACTTCACTGCTACTCCATCCTTCATCCTTTTAGGGGAACAGTCATAAAAAACCCAGGGAGAGATAGAAATAGGAAGATGATGCCACCACATCAGCTTGAGCCCTGTGGCGTCCTACTAATGAACTGTTTCCAGATTTGCATTGGTCTGTTAGTCCTCAGGCTTCAGGTGCATTTGTTTAGCCAGCCATTCATCCACCTAACTAACATCTTCCAGCCCACAATGACAGTTGTCATTTTGTCCCCTAGTGTGTTTTGGTAGACTTTGTCACATGTTTTGCCAAAAGAGTTTCCTGGATTTGGTGTCATGTGACTTGAATTCCAAGCCTAGTTCCACCCCTTACTATCTTTGTGACCTTGTATAAGTTGCTAAACTCCTCTGGCCTACAGTTTTCTAATCTCTGAAATGAAGGAGTCAAATTAACTGGCCTCTATATCTGTGATTCTAGATATATCATGTCTTCATTGTTTGCCAGCGTTACCAGTTTAGTAACTGATAAAAAGAGCTATTAGGGTAGTTTGGTATGATTCCTTGTCATGAAACCTATACTGGCTCCTGGTGATCTGTTTTTTTTTGTTTTTTTTTTTTTTTTTTTGCTTTTGGGTGAGGCAGCTGGGGTTAAGTGACTTGCTCAGGGTCATACAGCTAGTAAGTATCAAGTGTCTGAGGTCACATTTGAACTCAGGTCCTCCTGACTCCAAGGCCAGAGCTCTATCCACTGTGTCACCTAGCTGCCCGTCACATTGCTTTTCTGAGTGTTTACAAATCATGTTTAATAGTCTATTCAAGAACCTTCTTTAAAAAGAAAGAAAGAAAAGAAACTTCTTGACAGAGAGTATCACAGACTGAGTGAGTAAAGTGTTACTATGAAAAGGATCCAAGATAAGCTTTGACTCCTCTAAGAGATTCAAGATGAGTTAGTTCTTAAACCTGAGAGTAAAGGGCAGTGTTAGATTGAACGGTGATTGATAATTGTATAGTAATTGGATGTTTCATTAATAATGTGTTTTAATGTTTATGCTAAGCTATGTTAATGATGAGGTATTTTTTCCTTCAAAAAATAATTTAGTATAAGAGCATTTTAATCTTTTTCTGTTTTTCAGGCGTAGCTTGTTAGTGACATGAAGCCATAATCAAAGCATCACCACTCACCTGTAATAGGCAGAGTAGGTGTCAGAAACTTTAATGTAAAAGAGAACTGCTTACATTTCAATTTCAGTTCATATTTATAAAGCTGAAGGTCCTATTTTGTTTCTTGCTTATGAAAATTTTCATGCATCTTAGCATGTTGGGTTTTTTTGTCACTGAAAAATTATCATTAAAGAAGAGGAAGTTTGATTTTCATAGTTATTACTCTCTTCAGCCACCTTCAGAAACTCAAAAAGTTATTATTGCTGAAATTTCAGGCTCCTAATTCAATTAACTATAATCTCTCTGTTTTCCACAAAGTAGCATTCCATTTCTCTAGAAGTCATACCCAATATTAAGACTCTTTGAAGAAAGCTCCTGGCCTCGAACAACATATCTAACATTATCTTAGCAGTATGATTTTAGATGGTTATCTCGTTCTGTCAGTCTCATATGGTCAACCATCTTAATTTGTACTTTAGAAAAATTTGAAAAGCAAAAGTAAGAAATGTCAAAAATTGAGCTAACTTCAGAGAAGATAGATACTTAGTTATTTATCCATGGCTTAGAGTGGGCATGAACAAATGAACAATAGCACAATCTTTAACTATTCCATGGGTCAGTACAGCAACATAATTTAAGGAGCCAATGCTCAAATTCTTGCCAGTTTTAGGTTAAATTTAGAGCACTCAAACTAGTTCATTCATAATTTTCAGTGAAATCATCAATGGATACTCTCTTGTCTGGTGCATTTTGAAAAGACAAAAATTTTTATGAGTAAATGGAATTGACACAGCCATTGATTTTGCTGGGTTTTTTTTTTTTTAAGAAATACAGTTCTGTAAAATGCTTAATGTTCTTTGGACAAACAGTAAAATGAATCATCTAGTGTTTTAAAATTTTTATGTAGGATATTGAGTCCTTGATGTCAGAAGGCAATAAGTCCCGAACAGTTGCTGCAACCAACATGAATGAGGAAAGTAGTCGATCCCATGCAGTCTTCAAAATCATCCTGACCCATACTTTGTATGACGTGCAATCTGGGGTAAGTGCAACGGAGTTATTATTCACGTACAAGGCTTTATTCTCGGCAAGGTTACTGGTGTGAAATCACCTACTGCTTGCCTCACTCATGTACTAAAGGATTATAGATTTAGAGTTGTAAAGGACTTTAGAGGCCATCTAATAAAACACCCTCATTTTTTGGATGAAGAGGCTGAAATGTAAAAACCTTCAGTCTCTTGCTTGCACAGACAGTAAGTGACAGAGCAGACATTTGAACTCAGGTCCTCAAACTCTAAAACCATTGCTTTTCGCATAGCCCATAATCAGCAGAAGATGTTTTAAAAGAGAAAATCTGAGCCAGTCATGTATCTGAATTTAAGGTGCTGTGGTGGCTAATTTGAAAAACATTGATATGAAAGTGTGAACAGAATTATGGTATCAGATTTAATGGTGATAATTAAGAACAATTACCCTTCCAAAAATAGTAAAATTGAGCTTGCATAAGGTTTGAGAAGACAGGAAGTGAACTAAGGAAAATCAATTCTAGGTTGCCTCTAAGTATATTTAGCCAAGGCAGAGTGCAAAGTTTCCCAGCTGCTTTCCAAGTTTTAGTGGTCCACTTTTAGTGGTGTTATTTAAAAAGATGACAATATGTTATAACATCATTTTAGATCTGTTTGAAAGGTACCTAGCAAGTTATAGGGGGAGAGGAGGTAATATTTGTGAATATTGCCTTAATGTCTTTTTTTTAAAACCTTATTGAGAAATATATTTGGTTCCAATTCTTGTTTTTCCCTCCTTTGCAGAGTTAATTTTCCTTTTCTCCACTGAGTGAATTTCAAATGTTGTAAAGCTACAATAAATGACTTGGCCATTCAGTTGAGCAAACTCAGCAGAAACTCATTAAGTACCTAATATGCTTAAGGCACTTTGGCAAAAAGTACTGTATTTTAGGATAAGTGCCTTGGTTTCTATTTAATTTAAACATAAAGCAAAATTATACTTAATCAGTTTGATGTAGGTGAATTCAGTTGATGCATGCCTTTCTATTAGGTCAGATGCTTTATTTATTATTTCTGAGAAGGATTTAATATTTGGCAACAGGTTGTCTTATTTTCTCTGTTGCTTTTAAATGTATATGTGTGTGTAGTTCATCTTAACCTTTTTTTTTGTGAATGATTCTGTCCTAAAATTTTAGATTTGTTTTCATGATTCAATTTTGTTTTAGAAGCTGTAGCTTTGCCAGTCTTTCTCTGATGGCTCATTGTGTTGTGGTAGCAACCCTTATGTCTTGAAAACTATTGCCAGAAAGCTCTGATTGGTACTAACCAAACAAGAAAGGCTTAAAGTGCAGGTCTAGTGACAAGCTATTGTGTGAACACCAGTCTGGCTGAATTGGGAGAGCGTCATTGCTGGAAGATTGACCACCATGTAATGAATTATTTTTGACTGTAGGAATTCACAAACCTATCCGCTAATAATACTTGGAGGGACTGTGACCTGTTTCTCTGGATAGTAGGCAGAGTATCCATTCCAGTGAAATCATAGCTCTTTTGAAGAGTTGAGTTAAGAAAATAGTAGTCAGAAAGTCAGCATTTCAACTAAACTGGTACTCTTCCCCTTCCCCCACATTTCTTGTTCATTTGTTTCTACCTCTACACCCTTTGGTGCTGCAGAAGTGGAAGGGTGTTCTGCTCAATATTGTGGGCCATTTTGTATTTTTCTTTGTTTCATGGGTTGCCACGGCCAAAGAATTTGTCACCAAGAGGCCAGTCTCCTGGTCCTTCAAAAGCAGTCACAGTCTTTTGCCAGGATTACATCGGAAGCCTTTTCAGCATGATGGAACCTGCTACAGTTGATGTTCTGCTGCCTCTGTCTAAACAAACTTTACTTCCATCCCTCAGTGAGGCATCAGAGTAGGGCTTGGTGGAAGAGCTGAAGATTGTTGAAAGAAATTCACAAAGCTGTTGAAGATATTTGTGAATATGTATGTGCGATTTTAAAATACAAAAAACAGTTTTAATGCTTAAATATTAAAGGTACTCTGTCTCCTTTTGTAGACAAATTCATTCGGTAAATTAATGGGCTTCTTTAGCAAAGATCTCATATCTTGCACATCTTTTCTAAAGTGTTTCTGTGTACTCATCATAATTTAGCATTTTGTATAATAAATCCCTACCTAATGGTAGCATAGTACATTCATGAAACTAAGTCTGTGATAGATAAGTATTAGTTTTTACCTCTTTTTGATTAAGAGACAAGATATCCACAGAGGGGTTTGGTTAGTAAATCTTTCAGGTGGGAAATAATCTGCTTCTCTCTGTATAAATGACTTTGAATTCTGTTCATCAAAACAGGACCGACTGCTTCTTATTACTGTTTGTCTTATTCTGCAGACATCAGGAGAGAAGGTGGGCAAACTAAGCCTGGTTGATTTAGCAGGCAGTGAAAGAGCCACAAAAACAGGAGCTGCCGGGGACCGGCTGAAGGAAGGAAGCAACATTAACAAGTAAGGGCTTTAGGAGCTCATTTTCCTGTCTTGTTGGTGAGCAGCTTTGAACATTGGATATATTGTTTATTTTAAAATTTAACATGTTTCTATTGAGGCTATAGGGTCTAACAGATGGAGCTAGGAGCTAGGAGTCTGTTATTTTTTTCATATAAAAATCGTTCTATGGATCCCATTTCCAGTGGTAGCTGAGCTTTGAGTATTTTCTAGTGGTGGTAGTATATTTATACTGATCCGTCCTTACTATCTCCTAATCTCCTTCATAACTGGTGACATGTTTCTTTTTTTTTTGGTGGCAGGTGGGTTAGAATTACAGTCTAGTAGTCTTGGAGTGCAGTAAACTAATTGGTCTGTATAAAGATCTCTTCATTAGACTTAATGCACTTCACAGCTTTCTGCATTAGCTAATTGAACATATTCTAACCATAACCCAACTCATTTTGCCTTTGTACTTTTGGTCTACACAATGAGCAATGAGTATTTCATAATATTCACGTAATATGCTCTATTCACTGATTCCTTGCTGTGAATAGGGGTTGTCCTAATTCTGCCATACTCTCCTGTCTGGGGAATCTAACGGGCCAGGTTTGGAGCTCATGATCAAGTATGTCCCCAGTGAGGACTGACCCTGGTTGGCGTAACTGATAGGGCAGGTTTTCACCTCCAAGCATACCTGTCATTTTCCCATAAACACTTTGCTTCCATTCCTTGTTCTGTAGTAGTTCTCCATCTCCTGGGTCACTACAGATGTGAAGGTAACTTCCACATCCGTCACGTCTTTCCAAGCTCCCCTCCCCATGTCCTTAGTGTGACTGGTAATCACATGTTAGCACTTTCTTCTCTGGCTTCTTTCTGTGCTTGTTTGTCCTGAATCCTACAACATGCATTAATAGTAGACTGATCATGAGGTAGGGATAGGACAGCCCCAATTGGGGCTTTTTCCACGCTATTCATATGCCTAATTCCAACTAGTGAAGAATACAAACAACTTTTTTTATAATGGCCACACTCCATCTCCAGTCCCTTGAGCCAGCCCCTTCATCCCTCAACTAGGAAATCTCAGTGTCCAAAACAGAGATGGATAGGACTGATTATGTCATTGTGTTAATCCACCATAACCTACTTGCTTCCTACTCAGCAGAGAATTCTTCCCTGGTATCTGTGTATCTCTCAGTAAATCTGGAGGAAACCTTTCTTTTTATTATTGGAGCCCTTGGACCTAGATGACAGGTATCTTCCACCCATTTCTTTAGGTCCTCCTATTTCAGCCAAAGCGCTCAACGTATGGAAGATTTGATGTTTTAGGCATTGTTCCACCTCTGAAAAAGAGCATGGGATGGTATCTTCTCATATCGTCTTCTTTGGGGCCAAGCTTGTTCCTTAAACTTTTGCCACATTGAGTTTCAGTGGCTCTGTCTGTGTTGTTCTTTCCTTTTATATTATAGTTACTTTTCTATTAAAATTGTTTTATTGATGCTTTAAAAAAAATTATTTCCCTTCCCAGTGATTTCCCCAATCTAATCCAACCCTTTCTTGAAACAAACAAAAAAATGCATTCAGGCAAAACAGATGTTAGCCTTATGCCCCATTCTAAAACTATAGTCCACCATCTCCCTATTGACAGATAGAAAGCATGCCGTAGATGTCTTCTAAAATCACCATCAGGCATTGCAGTGATCAGATGGCTGAAATCTTTTAGTGTTGGGTTTACTTTAACAGAAAACTTGTGAAGGATTATTTTTCATAGGGGAGTTCTCTGACACAAGACTCTCTTTGTATTGGCCTTGTTTTTGGTGATTTCTTTCATGTGGTATCTACATGCATCATAAGTGTGCAGCAGGCTAATGATTTTCACCGCAGGCTTGAATGGAGACTCTTGAAGAAGGAGTTTGATTTGCTCAGCAGTAGTAGGTAGAAGTATTAATTTGTAGTTTCCATAGGCTTGCAATTGAATGCCATTATGCTGACCACAGGGTCATAGTGTCACTCAGATGTGGGCCCAATCAATCTTGATGGATGTGTTAAGACATTTTATCTCTAGATTTTTTTTTTTGCTTACTACTGTTCATGACACCCTGCAGGTCCCTCACCACCCTTGGTCTGGTTATCTCAGCCCTCGCAGATCAGGGTGCTGGAAGAAACAAGAACAAATTTGTTCCATACCGTGACTCTGTCCTTACCTGGCTCTTAAAAGTAAGTACTTTTTTTCTTCAAATTTTTAATAGAAGAGAAGGAGCAAAGAATAAAGATAGAATGTTTTGGTGTCTGAATTTACAGTCAGAATACTTCCTCTGTGTGAGATAAAACCTCTGGAAGAAATGTGTGCAACCCTCCTTGATTTTCTCCTGTTTGGAAGGCAGCGAGGTGGCACATGGATAGAATGCTGGGCCTGAAGTAGAGAAGATCTGAGTTCAAATCCATCCTCAGACACTTACTAGCTATATGATCCTGAGCAATTCCTTTATCTTCTGTCTGCTGCAGTTTTCTTAACTGTAAAATGAGGATCATAATAACACGTACCTCGAAGGATTGTTAAAAGGATCAAATGAGATGATATTTGAAAAGTACTTAGTACAGTGCTTGGTGCACAGTGGCATTTAATAAATGCTTATTCCTTTCTCTTCCCCTTTTTCAGTGGAAGCTGGTATCAGTTGCAGCCATCTTTTCTTTCTCTCAAAGCTCAGATAGTGCTTTATTCTATACCGTTCTGACATGCCTATTGTATAATACTGTGTTTTATAGTTATCTGTTTCTAGGTCTCCTGAGTCCAGTGACAGCATCAGCCATGTGTTTTAGATTAAAAAAAACCAAATAAAACATAACTTTGTAGTTTCCTCATTTACAGTCTTTAGGTATACAGGAGGTACTTAATGTTTATTGAATTTGTTGAGTTGGATTTTACTTTGTTTTTTGTTTTCAAATTCACCATGTTTTCTCCCACAACATGCTACCTCTAGGTGTGCAGCAAGTAGTAGCTAACAGTTATTTTCTGAAGGGAGAGAGAAACTAAATTAATTTTCTTCATGCTAGAATGTTTTTCTGTGTAAGAATTTTATTCTAGGGGCAGCTAGGTGGCACAGTGGATAGAGCACCAGCCCTAGATTCAGGAGTACCTGAGTTCAAATCCAGCCTCAGATAGGTAACACATACTAGCTGTGTGACCTTGGGCAAGTCACTTAACCCAATTGCCCGCCCTAAAAACAAGCAAACAAATAAATAAATAAATAAGAATTTTATTCTAATGTGCATTAGTTATGAATATTTAATCACTGACAGGTTTGTTTATTGTCTTTTAAGGAGTACAGGCATTCTTATGTGCATGTAATGTATTATGGCTTTTTTAGGCCATTTTTCATCCTCTTCACACTCCCCCCCCCCATGCTAGGAGACAGCATAGAATAGTTGAAAACTTGCCAGATTTAGTTAAACAGGAGACCTGAGCTCCCCCACCCTCCACCCCCCGGGCTCCTATCACTTCTCAGTAGCTCTGTGACCTTTGGGGAGTCACTGAGCCCCTTTGACTGTTGCTATTCCTTCTCATCTGTTGCACCTTAAGCTCTAAAAATCTTAAGATTCTGAAAGTTCCATTCTTTTCATGTTTAACTTCCTTTGAATCCGCTACATCTGAAGCAGAATTTGTCTAATTCCACAAACAGTAAATGAAGGACTTTCCTTTTTCTTTGAAAAAGTGCCAGTTCTTTTGTTGTTACTTCCTTTTTCTGGGCGGCTTCAGCTATTTTCAGTGTAGGCAGAATATATTGTTGCTTTAAAAGTCACAAAGTGCTTTTAAAATATCAAGTATTTGTTGTTGGCCAGGTTTCCTTCCCTCAGCATAAACTGAAGCACACTATGTGCGGCTTTTCACTGTGGCAGCTATTGTTGCAAATCTTCTTTTAGCCAGTCCCTTTGGTAGCTGTTAGGGGCTAACAGTATGTGGTTGTTGAAAGGCCCACCTACCTCAGTGTTGTTGGTGCACAGATTGGCAAACTGAGTTGGGATCTTTAGAAGCAACTCTTGAATCTCATTAATGTGTGTGGGACTCTCCTTAGCATTATTAGGAGGTTGCCAAATGCAAGTGTGTCAGAAATGTTAGATTGGCATCTATAAATGAAGCAGTCATCAAGCTTGGGGACAGAGAGCTTTCAGAAAGCCATGATTCCTCCTAGCCCAAAATAACCGACTTTAACACTGTTTCATTCCTTCTCGTGAATTTTCTTTCAGGAAGGAATGCCTTTATTTGTGTTTCTATAGCAAACTGAATTGTTAGTAGCAGATGTGTAAATAGATTTTGGAGTGTTAGCTGTTAAATCTCTGTGGGAGCAGGAAGGGGTAGGAATCATCTGGTCTAAACCCCTTGTTTTACAGATGAAGATACTGATGCCTGAAGAAATTACATGATTCACCTAAAGCCAAAGATTTAGTTTTTTGGCAGCACCAGGAGTAGAACGCAGGTCCTTGGACCTACAGATCAGCTGCTACTAAAAGGAGTATATTCTAAGAATGAGACAAAAGCATGTATGAATACAGAGAAGTGTGAGAAATAACAGTTTGAGTTCTGGGCACAGCCAGTAGTCCTGTTTGGCCAGAGTTTAGCATGCAGCATGGAGTGTAATGTGAGATAAACTTGGAAAGAAAACTCAGTGCTAGATTATGCAGATCCTTAATTATCAGGCTAAGGAGGTTGTTGGTGGTGTTTTTTTATAGGTGGTGGTGGTGGTGGTGGTGGTGGTGGTGGTGGTGGTGGTGGTGGTGGCGGTGGTGGTGGTGGCTGTAGCAGCAATAGCAGTAGAAGCAGTAGTAATAATAATCATAATCATAACAACTGATCTTTAATTTTGCAAAGCACTTTAAATAGGTCAGGTCACTGATGAGGCCAGCCCCATAGGTTTTACCCCATTTTATAGACGTCCAGTCTGAGGCTTGACCAGGTTCAGTGACTCACCTGTTCTTGTACAGCTCGGGAGACAGGCAGGACTCGAGCCTGTGTATAGCCTCTCTAGGTCCACCGTTCTTTCTTCTCTGACATACAGGTGAGTGACACAAGCAGACCTTGGTGCCAGATTATTTACCATCTCACTTAAATGAGTCTCTCTCACTGTAGTGACCAGTTTGGGTGTGGAAAAATAGAAGGTGGTGGGATTTAGAGCTGGTGGGAGCCTTCGAGCTAGTCTGGACCAACTCTTCATTTGGTTCATGGGGGAGCAGTGGCTTGAGAGGTCACTAGGGTCTGTTACAAAGTCCTGCAAGTGTCAAACCCATGTGTCATCTGATTCCATGTATTCTGTCCTGTATTGACATCCAGGTGGAGTCAGTTTATTTAACCTAACATTTATTAAGTGTTTACTATGTGTGAAGAAGGGATATAAGGACAAAAAAATAGCCCCTAGTTATTGACCCTCTCATGGGGGTTGAGAGTGGTGGTTAGGAAAGGTTTATGTAGGATATGGCTCCTGGGGTAGAGATTTAAAGGAAGCTGAGGAGAGAATGCATTCCAGGCATGAGGGTTGTGAAGGACAGAGTCTTTGGCAAGATGTAAAGATGAGATGTTGAATTTAGGGAACAGTTAGGCCAGTTACTTTGGAACAGAAAGTATGTGAAGAGGCATGAGAATGAAATAACTGTAAAGGTGGGTTGAATCCAGATTGTGGAGGGCCTTACATGTCAGACTGAAGAGTTTATTTTTTATCCTAGTGACAATAGGGGGCTAAGTTAAATTTCTGAAAAGAGATTCATGTGGTCAGGCTTGTACCTCAGAGTCATTATTTTTCTATATGCGTGGGGTGATAGACTTCAGAGGCATAGAATCTTAAACCAGGGAGAACTAGAATATAATAGCCACAATTTCTGTTAAGAAATAGTCCTTTAAAGCATACAGAACACTTTATACATGTTTCCTTTTTTGAGCTGTACCTGTGGAGTAGGTGCTATAGGTATTATTTTTCTCATTTCACCAAGGAGGAAATAGGCAAGGTGACTTGCCTGTGGTCACACAGCTTGCAAGCCTTGAGGGCCCAACTTTCCTGACTGCAAGTCTGGTTTTCTTTATTGCACGTACAGCAAGCCTTTTCCTGGATTTGGCTTTTGTGGGGAAAAGGTGCTGTAGAGCATGAAGTACTTGAAATTTTAAGATCTTAAAGTGAACTGAAATGTCTTGATTTCATCTTTTGGAGTCTTACTAATATTCTGGTATGTTTTGTCACATAATTTCAGAGGTTCAAGTAAAGATTGCTGGTGACCAAAAGCTAGCGGTACGTTCTGGTCATATTAATCTAGTACCATAGAACCCACAAAATTAGAAAGTATCCCTTTAACGATTGTGGCAGGAGAATGGTCTTTACCTCTATCATTTTATGCAGCCCAATCATAAATGAAATGGTGCTTTGGTTATTTAGTACCTTTTTGGGAGACCTCTAACACAAATCTTTATTTTACAGGAGAACTAGATAACATTCATCTACCAGTGAATATATGCTGATGTATAATAGTTTTGTTTATTAGTGATGGATAAATTGACATTTCTAATGACCAATTATGCCAGGCAAACCAGTTATATATATTTTTTCTTTATGTATAATTAAATGAAGAATTTCATCTGATGTGGCAGAATGCTTATGGGATTGTGGGTCAAGAAGCCTGAATTTTAGCCTGGCTCTGCTGTTAAGTGACTTTGTAGCCTTGGATAAATCATTTCACTTCTCTAGCTTTCATTTTTCTTCTCTGTAGGATGGAGTTTGAATAGTTTTTCTTTGAGGTCCCTCCCAATTGGAACATTCTATGATTTTATTATTTTTTTTCTCCTTCAGGATAGTCTTGGGGGTAACAGCAAGACGGCCATGGTGGCCACTGTCAGCCCTGCAGCTGATAACTACGATGAGACCCTTTCAACTTTGAGGTACGCTGACAGAGCCAAACACATTGTGAACCATGCCATAGTGAATGAAGACCCCAATGCTCGAATCATTCGGGATCTCCGAGAAGAAGTAGAAAAGCTCCGAGAACAGCTCAGCAAAGCAGAGGTACAGGCACATTTTAATAACTGGTTTAGGGATTCCTGTTGTTTCTATGAGAATCCACTAAAGCCAAGGTTTGGGTTGCGTTCTCTTTGTCCCTCAAATAATGGTCTTTTCCATTCAGGAATTCTATATTTAAGTTAGACTTTGTGTACAAAGTGGGAATTGAGGTGAATTTTGACTAAAAGAAGGAAAATTAATTGTAATACCGGTAACGTAGCAGGTTGTTAATTAGTCCACTGGCATTTATTGATTCCCTACCATGTGTCAATCCCTGTGCTCTGGAGAGAAAAAGACAGAAATGAAGCAGACCTTGCTTTTTAGAGGCTTACATTCACAGGTGTAGGGGATGGCACGGGAAAATAGAACAAAGGGAAATAAATTATTTTGGGGGACTAGAATGAAAGCAACAGGCAATTCAGTTTAACCAACATTTATTAAATATCTACTATGGGCTAGGCATTGTGGGTACAAGACCAAAACAAAACTGTCCCCTTGCTCACCCAGAGATTAGTCTAGTCTTGAAGGATACACCATAGACATAAATAAGCAGCAAATACAGAGTGGATACAAAATCATTTGAGGACGAAGAAAGTTCCAATCGCTAATGTGTGGTAGGGCTGGGTCAGGAAAGCCTTTGTTTAGTAGTGGTGTTTGGACTGTGCTTTGATGGAGGCTAGGATTCCATGAGGAAGAATTGAGGAGGTGATATGTTCCAGAAAAAGCTTGTACAAAGGTAGGTAAAAATGGATTTATTTTTAAAGTGGAGGAAGGGATTTGGTATGGGTGGATATGTTTTACTAATATCACCTTGGTAGCTGTGTGGAGGATGGATTAGAGAAGAAAAAGATTAGAGGCCTGAGGTGCCTAAATTTAGAGACATCTCCACTCCAGATGTTCAAACAGACTATTTGTGCCCGACCTGTGGTAAAGCCTTCTGAGCTTATACTGGTCTGATCAGCCATGATCGGACGCACTGAACCTTGACTCCAGCGTAGTGATGTCATTTTGGTCTCCTTTGAGTATGAAGGACAACAACGAATGAGGTGAGAGTTGGTGAGGATCTGAACTAGTCTAGCAGCTCTGTGAACGGAGAGAATGGGTAGGATGTCCGCATGCCTAAAATGCTTTCCCTCCTCACCTTAGCTCTTGACTTCTTTCAAAACTCAGCTCAAACACCTTCAAATACCTCAAATGTCTTCTGCAAGAGGCTTTTTAGAGCTCACCCCATTAGTAGTCTCTTTCCTCAGAATTAACCTTCCATTTATATACTATACATAGCCTACATATGCAATTTTTTTGCGTATTTTCTCTCTGTAGGCTCCTTGGGAGCAGGAATGATATTTTTACTTTTCTTTTTATCACCAGAAATTTACACTATGCCTGGTACTTGATAAACCTTTAACAAATGCTTGCTGACTGACAACCATGTGAAAAGTTTTGGAGGGAGAATTGGCAAGCCTTGGCATTTGCTTGGCTATCGAGAATGAGGATGACCCTAAGGTTTTGCACCTAGGTGACTGGGAGGAAGATGAGTGCCCTCAATTTAAACAAGGAATTTTAGGTTACAGTGCATTTTGGAGGAAATAAGAGTTCTATCTTAGACATATTGAGTTTGAAATGCCTTTGGGACACCTCAGTGGAGCTGTCTGTCATGCGGTTAACAACATAGGACCATACTTCAGAAGAGAGATTAGAGCTAGTGGCATAGATTTGAGTATTACCAGTATACAGATGATAAATGAATCTACAAGGGATAGACTAGAGAGAGAGGAGAGGACCTAAGACAAACCCAAAATGTGCTGATAGGCACATCTAGTGTGTGGGAGAAGAATTGACGAGGAGGATTCAATACAGAATGCTGAGAATAAGTCACTAGGAGGAAGAGAACTAAGAGAGGAATGCCCCTAAAAACAAAGGAAGAGAGAGCATCCGGTCTACAGAGTGAAAACTTTAGAGAAGTCAGGAGTGGTGAGGACTGAGGAAAATGCTGTTGGATTTAGCGGGTATGGTTGGTAATCTTGGGGAGAGCAATTTCAGGCCAGTCTTTAGGGTTGGAAGTGAAATTGTAAGTGGTTTGAAATGAACGAGATATAAGGAAATGGAAGCAATGAATGTAGATAACCATTTTTAGGACCCGGCTGCGAATGGTTATAATAATAATAATAATAATAATAATAATAATAATAATAATAACAGCATATGGCATTTTAAGGTTTGCCTAGCACTTCACAAACATTCTCTCATTTAATCCCCAAAACAGCTCTGAAATGTAGGTGCTATAAGAGCATCTACATCCCCATTTTATAGATGAGGGAACAGAGACAGACAAACATGAAGTGAAGTGTCTGAGGCAGGACTTAAAACCAGATTTTCCTGACTCCAAGTCCAGTGTTTTGTCTACTGCAATACCTTAGAACTCACCTTGAGGTGATGGCAGGGTTAATTGAAAAGCTTTAATAGATTAATGAACTAATTAATGGAAAACATTTATTAAGCACTTACTATTTGCTAAGCTCCATAATGGCAGTAGGGATACAAAGATAAAAGTAAGATGAACCCTGCCCTCTAAGAGCTAATTGTCTAATGGGTGGAAAAACGGCACTCCTCACAGATTTCCCCTTTCCAGTTTACTATCTAATCAATTAGCATTTAATTATGTATATCCCCTTTTATTGTGTATTAATTTTCCCCCCTCCCCCTTCACCCTCTAAATGGACTATAGGTCCTTATGGAAAGACAGTATGTCTCATAATTCTTCTGTATCCTCCATAGTGCTTTGTATAATACGGAACAGGCACATAAATCCTGACCAGTACTTCGTGTGTCCTGAGGGACTGGTTGCTGGACTTAATGTCAGTAAAGTGTGTCTCAGCCAGCTATTCTCACTTCTCATTTAGCATAAGAAGTACTGCAGTAGACCATGAGATTGTCCTGGGAAAGCATAGACAATGTTTGTGTTTGGGGTATTGCAGATTTCCAGTTTTCTGTTGTGTTCTACCAAGAGTTTAACCCAGTACTGTCAAACCTGAATACGCCTGAGCCGTACAGAAGTCTCTCTGTGGGTCACACATTGACTTAGAAGATCATAGTGACATCATCTGTTTTTTATTGTATTTTTTTTTTGTTAAGTATTTCCCAGTTACCTTTTAACCTGGTTTGGGCCGCTGGTGATGCATGTTTGACATTTCTTGTCTGACCAGTGTAGAGAATAAAACAAAGATGGCAATCTATTCCTTAAATGATGTGATCTTAATATGTTCTGTTATCATTTGACTTTTTTCACTATGGCGCTATATAGGAAATACAATCCATTTATAATCTGTAATAGTAGTAACAATAACAATCATAGCTAACATGGAGCCATCTAAATTTTATAAAGCGCTTTATACATATGATCTCATTTGAGCCTTGAAATAACAAAGTGAGTATTATTGTTTCCCACATTTTACAGATGAGGGAAGTAAAGCTCAGAGAAATGACTTGTCCAGGATCAGAGAGCTAGTTACTATTGGAAACAGTCTTAATAACTCCAAATTTGGAGGTCTGTTCACTCTGCTACCTCTTATCTGCTACCTCTGTTACCTCCTTACCCTTAAATATTTCTTTATACTGGACTAATGCCTGCCAGTCTTAGCAACATCATATAATTTGTCTCTAAATTTAGTAAGCAAATTATTGATTCTTTCATTTAGGGTACCATTTGGAATAGAGAGGGTATAGAGAGTAGTCTGGTCTTGAAGTCGTATCCCATCTTGCTCTCTCTCTCTTTTTTTGTTAATTAAAAACTTTTTTATTTTGGCATTGACACCAGTTTCCAGTTTACACTGGCCTCTTGGTGGCTTCTTGGTGTGGTTGGAAAACCTGAGATAATAGCAGGAAGTGGGTTTGGGGTTGAAGGTCCAGGCCGCATTGTAGAAGCCCATCCTGAACGGGCTGAGGACCCAATCTGCTGTCCTCTTTTATCCCCACCATACACGCAGACCTTGGTCCCATGACATGGGATTTGACCTGGCCACCACCAACCCAGAATGATGGGGACCTGTACAAGCCCAGGGTAAGAGCACCGATGGCTTTAGAGGCCATCCAGTGAGCCTGGACCCCCAGAGGCAGCTTTGGTGTGTGGAGTGGTAGGGGTGGGGGCTGGGACCTCTCTCTGTCTCCTGGGCAAGGCCCAGCAAAAAAGAAAAATTTAGTCCTGGGGAGTGTCCGCAGGTGGGGGTCCCTTATCTCCCCTGGAGAGAATCCCCTGCCTCTTCAGGAGGCCTGTAGCTTAGAAGGCATGGGGTTATTGGTGGTTGTGGTAGATGAGGGTAGAGCTGGTAGTGGACACACGGACACACACACGGACACACACACACACACACACACACACACACACACACACACACACACACACACACACACAACTAATTGTGTAAGTAAGCTTTGAGCCATCCCTGAATTTCTAACCCATAAGATAGAGAGAGAATAATACTTATCTCCCAGGGTTGTTTTGAGGATCAGATGAGAAAATGATGTAAAGTTTGTTGTAAACCATAAAGCAATATTGTTGTTATTAATGATACTATAGTAAGTTATCTCTGTGATTCTAAATGAACAGCCTTCTGGAATAAAACCATTAATACACTAAAATTTTTGCTCATTTGGATTAATGTAGCCCATTATTCCATATTTTACCAAGTGGCTCTTTAAAAGTGGTTATCTGTTTGCAAAGTGGTCAGAAAAAATAACCTGCCAGATCTAATTAATTATTGCTCATACAGATCATAGAATATGGATTTGGAAAAGACCTTAGAGCTGTAGTTTAACCCCACCATCTTTTAAAAAAAATTTTATTTAATTTTTAAAGTAACATGCATTAGTTTTCTTCCCCTTTCTGATTAAAAAAAGAAATCCAAAATCCTTGTATATGTAGTTACACGTATTTATATATATATATATAACTTTACATATAGATATTTATACATATTATACATACATAACATTTTACATATAGATAGTTAGACATATATAACAAGTATACATAGTTAAGTGAAACAAAGTCCCACATTTTTCATCTCCCCCAAAATATGTCTTTATCTACGTCTTGAATCCATCACCTCTCTGTCAGGAGGTGGGTAAAATGGTTTACTGCTAGTTCTCTGGAATTGTGGTTGGTCATTGCATTGATGAGTCTTTCAAGGTTGTTTTGTCTTTACAGTGCTTTAGCCCCATTGTTTTACAAACTCACTCTTAAAAATGAGCAAATTGAGGTTCAGAGAGTTTATGTGATTTTTTTTCCCAAGGCCACACAGTTAAAAAGAAGCGGAGCCTGGAACTGAACCTTGGTTAACTGTTTCAAAATCCACTACACTTTTCCCTATGGCACGACTTTTTATGCCTTAGCTAATCACAGATAGTACAATAGAGATTCTGTGTATCAGTGACAGTCCATTGTGTGTTTTTGCCTAGGTCAAAGACCTCACTGTGCTGTTGAGCTGAGATGAGGCAGATTGTTACTTTTGTCCCATTAGGTTTAGCATCTCCTTTTTTCAAGGCATCTTACACTTTAAGGTTAAAATATTTTCTCTTTATAGGCCATGAAATCACCAGAACTAAAGGATCGGCTAGAAGAATCGGAGAAATTGATTCAAGAAATGACTGTAACCTGGGAAGAGAAATTAAGAAAAACAGAGGAGATCGCACAGGTTAGTGTTAAAATATTCTTCAAAACTCATTCAAAATACTCCACAACTCTTCATGATTATTTTTGATTATGTTGAAATGTAGTTTCTTATTTTACTGTGGTCTTTCCTTTTTCTTTTGATTTTATGTGTGGCCAGCTCTGTGCCAATGATGAGCATTCAGATGCTAAGTCAAGGGCTCTTGTTGTTGGTAGTGTTTGGTTTTTTTCTCCCAGAAGAAGCCTGAGGCAAACTGGCAGTACTGTTCACCGTGCAAGAGAAGTATTTTTCCAGTGTCTCATCAGAGTAATTGCACTGAAGGGGAACTTACAAGTTTTCAGACTGATTAATTTATGGCTTCTGGTTTTCATCCCTTAAATTTCAGTGAAATATGCTGCCTACTGGTGAGCATTTTCATCATTTTCCTAGGCGGGTTTGTAAGGAGCTGAAATAAGAGTTGCCCAAGCTACAAAATGTTTAATGGTACAGTTTAGGCTGTCATCTTTATTGCCTGCCAGCTCCTATAATAAGGTTATCATTTCTGCAGATCTGCGTAAGCCTTTCAAAAATGCATTCATAACATTAGCTAATTTTGGTGGCATCATTATGAATGTGCCAAAATGAACAGCATAGGCTCAAGAAAAATTGTTAAGTGGGTGACATTTGTCTTCAGTTTCTCCTTCTGCTCTAGGTAGGTTCCAGTGTGCCTGATCATAGGGACATGTCACACCTGATCGGGAACCTTTGCTGCATCCTATCTGCTCCTGAGCCACACAGGGCTGCTTCTTAACATTCTCTCTGCTTCCCTCCCTTTATTGAAATATCTGTCTTAACTACTCAGGCTATACATCTGTTTTCCACTGTGCCCAAGGAAACAATTAGTTTGTCTCATTTTATAGAACTTATCACATTCTACTTTATAATCATTCCTATACATATCTCATTGGACTATAAGCTTCATGAGTAAGAACTGAATTTTAGTTTTTCTCTTACTCTTATTTTCGTATCACCCACAGTGGGATATATTACACATAATGATCCCCCCATAAATATCTGTGGAATGAATGGGTGAATGTTGTTGAATATTGATCTGACTAAATTTATTGAGCAAATCTGTGTCAAAGCACTGCAGTATTCCAGAGGATAGTCCTCTGAGTTCCTTCTTTTTTTTCCACCCTCTGCCACACTGTCTCTTCATGCAGTATGCTGTTATATGAGCATAGTAAAGTGTCTAAGAACAATGTAAATCTGGTTTCCATTAAAACAAGTAGGAAGTAATGGTGGATGAGTTATGTTGTTGTTCCGTCTCCTACCAAATGATTTTAAATTAATATTAAATAGAAACCAGCAACTGATTGCATTTCCTAGAGGGATAAATTGCCTTTCAGTAAAAAGTATTGCACTGTTAATAAGATTTCATCACATATTTACTGACAATATAAAATATTTTCTTTGTGTAAAGCACATTAATCTGTCCTATGGCTTTGAGTTTTGCATAGGTGCATATTTCTTAAAGGGAACCAGGGATGATTGAAACAGGAGGTTGTTTGGTGAATAGTACACTGATCTTGAAATTTAATCAACTTTGGTTATTTTTTGGAATATACTAATTGAATCCTCATTATATGCTGGGTGCTATCTTAAGCCAAGTGTCTAACTCAAATGATGTGGTGGCATGTTGACTTAGAAAACCACAAATTAACATTATCTAACTTGCCTTGTATTTTTATTTATTTTTGTTAAACATTTCCAATTACATTTTAATATGGTTTGGGCCACAAGTGTGATACCTCTGACATACAAAATGTAATACCTCTGACATACAAAATGTAATAAGCCATGTCTGTCTTTGATGACTTTACAGTCTCACTGAACTAAGAAAATATGAAAAGTTATTGTCAGTTGTGTGTGGGATAGATAGTAAGTGTTGTAGGATTTTAAAGGATAGAGTGAGTGATGAATGGCTGTGAAGGCAGAGTTTATAGAGAAGGTTTATAGACCTGAATCTTGAAGGATAAATAGGATTTGGCTTGGTAGAGGGAAGTGGGGAGGGAATGAATAAAATCATGTGCAGAAAACAGTGATTAAACTAGCCTTGCAGGAGCAGAGGATTCAGAGAAACATAATAGTGGAATGTTAGATTAGAATTAAATGATGGCAAACCTTACATACCAGTTTGGACTGGATCCCGAAGGAAGTGCATAGCAGTTTTGTTCATATACTTTTTCTTACACTTTTAGTAAATGACATAATTTTTGTAGGATGTCCTTGATTTTGTACATGCTATTGAGAATATTAACCAGGTTCCTTTTAAATCTTTGTTTTACGTTAATGGTCATGATAAGGGGAATCATGATAAAGGACTATAAGGAAAGGATACTTCTCATGTTTTTTTTTTAACTTCTTGGAAATACTTTAAGAGGTACTTTTATTTTATCATGTGAGATTTACTTTTGAATTTTAAAATAGGACTTTCTGATGCTTAATGTTTATAATTTTAAAATTGTAAGGCACTAAATTGATGTCAGCAGTTGCTATTAAGGCCTATTTAGCATTCTGTGAAAACTAAGGAAAATTTCCCTAAGCAGTTATATTTTTTCCTTTTTTTGTGTATTGTTGTGTTTTTCTCAGCAATAACTAGATATTTCTTTTGGGTTGTTCTGACTAGTGTTAGAATTTCTTGGAAAGGCAATCTGGATGTATTTGGTAAGTGTATGTGTGTTAGGGAGAGAGACAGAGCATGTAAGTGTCTTATGTATCTTTTTTTTTTCTTTTCAAATGAGAAATATCAAGAGAAAATTCATACAACACACTTGCTACAGTAATTCATTTTTAGAATCAAAGAATATTATTGATATGACTAGTATGCCAGTCAATCCTGCAAGCATTTTTTGGGGAGGCAATTGTGGGGAAGTGTCTTTGCCAGGATCACACAGCTAGTAAGCAGTTGAGTTCACATTTGGACTCGTGGCCTCCTGACTCCAGGCCAGTGCCCTATCCACTGCTCTGCCTAGCTGCCCCATCTGCAGCTTAAAGATAAAGAAAAAGAGCCTTCTTTCTTCTCTTATTTGGATCATTAACCTAATCTGGCTAAGGTGAATCAATTAGGGTCCTTCACTCTTGTCCTTGTCTAGAGAAGGATGAAGAGTACACTGTTTCATACCAGAGAGTGAATAACTGATTAGGCTTTCTCTTTCACATTAATGAAAACTTACCGATTAGGATACTTTAATTCGTTGATTCCACTGTACTGTTAACTCTTCCTACATTTCAGTGGCCATCTAATTGTCTATATCTGTTTAGATGCCAGAGTTTAGCAACTTTCTATAACCTGTGACATAGTAGGAAAGCCGTAGAGAGTTGCTGAAGGCACACTTAAGTTTTAAGTGACTTACACTGGCATATAGATCAATTAGTAAATAGTCACCAAGCATTTGTCCGTCCTGACTGCATGCCCGGTACTAAGTACTGGAGGTGCAAAGAAAGGCAAAAGAGTCACCACCTTCACAGAGCTCACATTCTAATGAGAGAAACGAAAAGTATGCAAATAACTATGTACATACAAGGTATAGACGGAATAAATTAGAGGCAGTCTCCGAGGGCAAGCCCTGGCAGTGAGGAGGTTCTGAAAAGGCCCCTTGCAGAAAGTAAGATTTGAGCTGAGTCTTGAAGAAAGACAAAGCAGAGACAGTGAGGTGGTGCCCTCAGGAGTGATAAAGCCAGCAGAGAGGTCAAGAAGGATGAGGATAGAGAAAAGCCGATTCGATTTCACAATTAAGACATCATTGTTAACTTTGGAGTGAGCAGTTGTAGTTGAACGATGAAGTTGGAAGCCAGACTGCAGAAGAGAATGAGAGAAGTGGAGAAATTCACTGAAAAAGTTTTTCTCAAGGAGTTTAACCATGAGAAAGAGTGAAGATACTAGAGAGACAATGGGCTAGTGAAGACTGTATGTAAGAGGAGTTTTCCTTGGCAAGGAGAAGGGCCACCCCCTTATGTGAGACAGGAGTGAAGGATGAGGTGGTGATGAAATGAGTGAGGTGAGATGAAGAAGTGGAAAGAGGCCACTCTCAGTGACAGGTCTTAGTTTTTTCAGTGATAAAGCAAGATTCTCAGAGGGTGGGGGAAGGGTTAGGGTTTATTAAGGGTCTTCTCTTAGCCAAGGCACTATACTAGGTATGCAAAAACCAAAACAATAACTCCAGATCCTTTAGGATTGGCCAAATTCATGTATCAGCTCATGGAAATTATAAACCAAGCATACTAACAGCTTTTTCCGCGATTGAATTTAGAATGACTTTCAAGAGGACCTTATAAGTAAGCATCCTGAGCTTTATTCTCTAATATGAGTTTACCACAAATAATTTTTGAGATAATTTCTTTTCTTATTCACTTATTTGGACTTTTGGCAGCTGGCTACTGCCCCATTGGGGCAGCTCGGTGACGCAGTGGTTAGGTTATCAGGCCTGGAATCAGGAAGCCTCTTCTTCCTGAGTTCAAATCTAGCCTCAGATGTTTACTAGCTGTGTGACCTTGAGCAAGTCACTTACCCCTGTTTGCCTGTGTTCCCTCATCTGTAAAATGAGCTGGAGAAAGAAATGGCAAACCACTCCAGTATCTTTGCCAAGAGCCCCCCAAATGGGGTCACAGATAGTCAGACATGACTGAAAAAATAATTGAACAACAACACTGCACCGTTGGAGCTTTTGGTATTAATTATTTTAATGGCAGCTTATGCTCAAAGAAAACCAAAGGTGCAGGTTGGCAATTGGAGGCCTATTGATGTGTCGTGGGGAGCATCCCTGATGGTAGAAGCCCACTGTTTGCTCTTTGCCACTCCCTAAGATCTAGCCCTATCCTTGTTCCACGTAACTACTTTTGTTAATGATAATGACAACTGACTTTATGTATATTACCTTATTTGTGCTTCTCAGTAACCCCATGAGACAAGTACTGAAGGCACTGGTATTCCCAGAAATGGACTTGTGACACAGACTATGCATTTATATTCCTTCTCTCACTCTTATATATACTTAGAAATAATCTCATCTGGAAAAATGTATGCACATAACACATATATACTGTGGTATACAAATTCCCTCACATACTCACATATAATTTTATATATTACAAAATGCACATATGAGGATGCTCATTCATTAACACAGTTAAGTCAGAGTAATGGAAACAAGTACTGGTTATTGTATGGCAACAGCAGGAGAGCCCAATGTAGTATTTGGGTTCGTGTTTATAATGTGCTTAAAAAATATAAATTTATATGTAAATTTTTCATATGTTCTATTCAGTGATGTCTTCTAAATTTTGTATATTCTCAATACCTTGAAACTTATAGCATTAATATTTTTTGAATATCCTTACAGGAACGACAGAAACAGCTAGAGAGTCTTGGAATATCTCTTCAGTCTTCAGGAATCAAAGTTGGGGATAATAAATGTTTTCTTGTGAATTTGAATGCTGATCCTGCCCTCAATGAGCTCCTGGTTTACTATTTAAAGGTAAAATCATTTACTTTTCAGTTTATTTATTGTAGTAGGATCCAGTCATAACACAGGCTGTCTCATTTCCCTGAGTTCAAATCTGGCCTCCAACTTATTAGCTGTGTGACCCTGGGCAAATCACCTAACCCTGTTTGCCTCAGTTTCCTCATTTGTAAAATGAGCTGGAGAAGGAAATGGCAAACCACTCGAGTATCTTTGTCAAGAAAACCCCAAATGAGGTCACGAAGAGTCGGACCTGACTGAAATTACTGAAGAACAAATAGCTTCCTTGAGAAATTATTATCTAGATCACTTAAACTGGTTGTGTTTCAGTATTTTCATCTTGAAAATGAAGGCATTGGTCAAGATGCCGAGTTCTGTTTTTGGGATTTGTATCCTTGTATTTTAAATATTTTGGTGACCATGTTTCAATATAATTAGTTTCCTTTGTAATCCCACATATTTTATTTTATGCATTAAAAAACATTATTCTGAGAATGGGTCCATAGGCTTACCAGACTGCCAAAGGTGGAGTCCATGACACAAAGATTAAGAACTCCTAAACTGTATGATCTTTAGTGTCCCTTCCCACTCTAGATCTTATGATCCTAGATCCTAAATTAGGTAGTATATAGAACATACCATAATTTTGCATTTAGTTTTCTTCTTTGTTTTTATGTCCTGGCAGCAATGGTTTTTGAGATCAGTGGTGATAGTCACATATTGTTATTTCAAAAAATGTTGATACTAACTTTTTCCAAGCTTGAGTGCTCAGAGAATGCTATGAAAATCATTTAAATGATTTTCTCACTTAGTATGCTTTAGAAAGAAATCAAGTGTTCAATCTTGATTAAAATTTAAGCCATCAGTTTGCTGTTTATGGATTAAAATAGTCAGTAGACTAATTTTAAAAGTAGACTACTTTTAAGACTTTTTATTTGTATGAAGTACATGTTTTTTTGCCATGGTGATGAGTCTGTTAGGAAGAATACAGAGAAGGTACAAAGTGAAGAGAAGTTATAAGGAAAGAGTTATAAGGAAATTTGATATGAAAATTATGCAAATTTTCTTTTACCTGTAGGAAAGGGTAGGGAGGGAAGGAAGGGATTTGAGTGGTGAACCTACAGATAGGAAGGCAACGTAAAATCTAGTGTTTAGTTAATGATGGAAGCAGGAAGCCATAAGCTATTAAATAGCATGCTGTCCATAGTAGAATCCTCTGCATGAATTGGCAAAATCAAGTTCCTCAATCTGCAGAGCTGAGGACCAAGCATTATACTTGTGGTCACCATTTTAGGGTTGAAAGACCCTAATATTTTCTGGCTTATGAGTTTTAGAAGATTATGGGTACTAGAGATGATGATTATCTTGTTCAGTAGAAGTGGCATGTTATGAGTCTTAACTAAGATTATTTATAGGAGGAATGATAAACTTACATGGTAGGAGCCTTACGTTAGAAAACAATGGCAAATTATTTTTCAGAAAAGTGTCTACAATGAATGACAAACTTAAAACATCTTAGTCAAAGTTTACTGCAGTTAATTTGATAGAAGATGTTTTATTTTTAGAAGTTAAATACATTGTAATTTAATACACAAAAACTCTACTATAGAATAGTTAAAAATCAGTAGAAACAGTGCTTGATTTGGTATCAGAAGACCTGGCTTTGAATCCTGCCTCTTCCACTTACTGGATCTCATCAGGTCCCTTGGATTCAGTTATCATCTCTATGCAGATGACTCTCAGATCTACTTGTCTAGTTCTAACCTCTCTCCTGTCCTCTATTCTTATATGTTTCCAATTGCTCTTTAGACATCTTGAACTGGATTCCCCATTGACATCTTAAACTCAACATTTCCCAAACTGAAGTCATTATCTTTTCCTCCAAGTCCTCCCCTCTTCCCTACTTCCCTGTTATTATTGAAGGTACTTCCATCCTCCCAGTCACTTGACTCATAACCTAGGTGTCATCTTTAACTCCTTAGTTTCTCTTATCCCTATAAATCCAGTGAGTGTTCAAGTCCTGTCATTTCTGCATGTGGCTTCGGCTTCTCTCTGAAATTAGCTCCAATTTATCTTACATACATCTAGTTTGTACATAGTTGTTTTTAGTTTGCCTACCTCGTAAGCTTGGGAGCAGGAACTGTTGTTTTGGCTCTTTTTGTTTGTTTATCCTTAGCATATAGCATAGTGCCTGGCACATAATCCGTGCTTAATAAATGTTTGTTCACTGATTGACTTCCTGTATCTCTTTGGATAAGTCCTTTAACCTCTTTGAACTGCTGTTTTCCTCATTTTAAAAATGAGATGGGTGAACTAGTTGACTTCTAAAAGTCCCTTCCATCTTTAAATCAATGATCTATTATTATCATGTTGGTTATGTCTTGTCTTCCATCTAATTAATGTTGTATAGTGCACCTCTGTCACTAAGAAGTGTTATTATTGTGTCTCTACTTTTGTGTTATAACATTGTTCTACCCCTTTCAAAGATAATACTACTGAAATTTCAGTTTACAATTGTATTCATTTGCTTTTAGAGACTTTTTGTATTGGGGCATAAATCACTTAACCTTTTTTTGTTTCTTAGAAGCATCTTATTTTTCTTCCTGATGTCACATAATGCAAATAAGAGCACAGAATAAGAAAAAACCCTGACTCATTTCTGCTCTAAGTACATTTCAAAGAACTAAACAAAGACACTGTTTATAGACTTTTGGCGAAGAATCCAAATATTTCCTGTCATCTTGTGTGTAGGTGTTTGGATTTTGTTTCAGTCTGTGTGTCCAGCCCAGTGTTGGCAGCATTTGAGGTAGTGTTGTTTTCTTGGATTTTAAGTTAAACTCATGAAAAGATACTTTCATGACATAGCAAGATGACAAAGATGACCTCAGTCCAGGGAATTTTTAGTTCAGTGAAGAGACTATGAAGTGTTGTGTTGCAAGATGTTTTCATTTCACCCCTCCTTCATTTAGATTCCATCTTTCAGCCACCGAAATAGTTGACTCACTTTGGGCAAGTGACCTATAATCTCTAGGTCTGATTTTCCTCACGTGTAAAACAAAAGGGTTGGATCACAGGATTGCCCTAACATCTCCCTGTTCCATAACTGTTATGCAGCCAGACCAAACTCCCTTTCATTTACTGATGGTTCTTTCTAGAAGGGGTTCCCTCGGACAGACATGCCGCAGCGTTGAAGGCAAAGTCATGTTGTATCCCATCTTAGCCTGTGCTCTGAGGGTAGTTCTGAAGCTGTGTGCTACCTATCAGCAAGACAGGAAGGCGCAGTAATGACTCCAGCAGCTGTTTTCAGTCACTTACTGGATATTCTTGAACTTGTCCAGCAAGAGTCAAGAAATCTCTGTTCATTCTTCGTAACCAAGTAAGACATTTAGTTACTGAGAATTCAAGGTTGGAGATGTGACTGGTTTAAAAACTACCATTGCTTTTGTACTATTGGGTTATCTTTCTTTCCTTGGAACTTGATCATGAGCAACAGCTGGGAGAACAAGGGTGGCTCGAGGAGGAACACAGGGAATGATGTGTTTGTGGCTTGATGGCTCTGTTTGCACGAGTCAGCATCTGCTTCGAACAGCTCATTCCCTCTGCAGCAGACCTCCCTCTGAAGGCAAACCGTGATTTGTAGGGGAAAGGGAACTGTCTTTTGCATGCTTTGATAATTAACATCCCTGACTTGCTCACAACCACTTGCATGGGTGGGAAGTCGGGGGCGGGGTAGTTGTAAAGTGCAAAGAGTCAGCACAGGGAGGAGAATGAAGTAAGGCTGGGCTGGGATGATCCCACAAAATGGAGGCCTTGAAAGGAACGTGAAAGTGTAAGAAAGGGGCTGGTGTGGTTGGTGGTAAGTTCCAGGATGAGAAGGCCCGAGGGGCTAAAGGAAGTTCTAGGGCAAGAAGGCAACTGAGTCATAGTGGCAAAGTTTGGAGAGTCAGAAGCACAGCCTAGAAGGAGGGAATGCAGCGTGGCTGGCCTTGTCCCCTCAAAATAGAATTCCCAGAAAGAACTCACCAATGAGAGAAGGGGCCACCATGGCAGAGGGATATGCCAGGGTCAGAACTGATATGACTGATACATTTTGGATAATTCGTATGTAATTATGCCTTGAGTAATTTATAGATGACAAACATGTTTCTTTAGACTAAGAATTCTTAACCAAGGCCCTGTGAACCTTAAAAAAATATATTTTGATAATTATATTTCAGTATAATTGGTCTCCTTTGTAATCTTCATTTTAAGCATAGAAAAACATTATTCTGAGAAGGGGTCCATAGGCTTCACAAGATTGTCAAAGGCATCTGTAACTCAGAAAAAGTTACAGTTCCTTACTGTAGGCTCTGTAAGCACCCAGTATAATTTGCAGGCAATACAAATTATTTAATTGTGGGAGAGGGGATGTAGCACACATCTTTTGACCCTGTGATCCCTTTACTGGATATATATTCAGAGATATGTAAGTCAGAGACAGTAGGAAATACCCATTATATACCAAAATTCTCCTAATAACATTTTTTTATTTGTGCTAGGAAAAAACTTGAAACAAAGTTACTATCGATTGTTGAGTGTTAGAACCAATTGTAGTATGTAAATACAATAAAATACTACTAGTATTCTATTACTAATAGAATACCTTGAGAAATAAGATATATAAGGAATTTAGAGAAATGTTGGAAAAATGAAAAAAAAAATTGAACTGATACCAAATAGGAATCAGGAAAATGTATACAATATATTTTTATGAATAAATGAAAACAATAGTAGCAGGCATCTGAAATGATTAGTAGTATTAACCAATGTTAGTCCTTGAGAACAGGTGATAAAACACATTGACTTCCTTTCAATAGAGGTGATTGATCACAGGTATGAAATGTTGCATGTGTTATCTAGCACCATCTCTGTGCCTGCTGCTTTTAATAATTAACTTTTTTTCTTTCTTACAAGGAAAGGTAAATAGGGTGGTGGTGTTTGTTGGCAAATAGGGGGGCATTTCAGGAAATTACTCT